TACAGGTAGAACAATTCAGTGTTCTCCCACTGGGTGGCGTACGTCTTCACATATATTAGATGTTTTTCTATTTATCTATGGTTCTGCTTGTTAAGGCTGTTTAGTTTTTTTTAATTATTATTGGAGCCGAGTGTTTCTTACTGCCTGAAATGACAAGAAGACAATATTTGGTATTACAGTTTAAACTTGAACAGTTTTTTTTTTACATCTGTTTTGCGCTGCATCATGGGATTTTTCGAGTATAAAAAACATGGCATAGCTTAAAAAGAAATCTGACAAAATCTCCATACACATTTAAAATCCAGAAGGATTCAAATGAAGGACGTCTCACTTGCAGGGTGACCTAAGACCTCGAAATATTTCTTACTGAAAACCTGTCAACAGCAACACGACAAAAATCCACTTTAGAGTAAAGATCATTCACATCTGTCAACATCAAAAGGAAACTGAGGTGTGTTTACCATCATAAAAAGATTTTTTGATTCTGTGTGAAGCCGGTACAGTACATTACTTTGAGTCCCCCTTCAGCCAAAACTGTTGATTTTTTTAATAGGTTTAGAAGGATTTAAATACATTTCCAATTTTACAGCTACCACTTCACAAACATGGCCTTGATAATACTGTAGACTGAAGCACTTCCATTCTCAACGTCACGTACCCTCTAAGTCCGAGTGCTTGTCTTAGGCTACACCAATCGTCTTTTGGGTTCATCTACCAATACCGATACCTCCCCCACCCCAATTTAAATACCTGGTAATATTCTTTTTTTTTTATCTAGACAAAACACTGTATGACTTTCTGGCACTAGCATTCTGCATACAAACCCCTGATTATTAAAATAGATTATTAAAATAAACTGCAATGCTGCCATCTAGTGGCTTTCACCTTCATATACAGTCATTCTTCCCCCAAATCTATTTTTAGGGCACACGTAATTTGGCCAAACCCTGTTATCGTGTTTTCGTAATCGGAAGAAAAATTGATAATGATAATGATTCTTACAGATATTGCATAATTACAGTATGCTAATATCGGGGCGAAAACATCGGTTGGGTGATTTTATCGGTCATCCTTACTTATTATATAAATTAAATTGAAACCAATGTTTTATTATGTTCACTCAAAACTGTAAATGATTAGTATGATCCTGGTTTTTTTAACTTGTTTTTACACCCGACTGCACTGGTCTACGTGTTGCGAGCTGCGCTATTGCCGCACAAAACCAATGTTTTTCTCCAGTGCCACAGCCTCAGTCCTCAGTGTAATAGAAAATTAAGTGTTCTGCTCTGTTGGCTTTGGAAATAGCTTCCCCTCCCAGGGATGAGACACATTAGGAGATGTTCTCTTCTCTTAAGTGTTCTCTCTCTCTCTCTCTCTCGCTCTCTCCCTGTTTGTTTCCATCTCTGTCTGTGTTTTTGTCTGCCTAATGCAGTGGTTCCCAAAGGTAGGGGCGGACCCCCTTTGGTGGTGTAGAATTACTGTGCGGTGCGGGGTGCATCTGGCAGGCCTATTATTTATTCTTTCCACTTGTGCCACACTGGGAAAAATTCACTGTATTTTAATCTTACAAAAGGGACATGACTGGAGAGTGCTCTTGCCTCGCAGCAGGGATTCAGGGAAGTGTAGTGCAGGCTGCCACTAGGGGGTGTCATGGCAATTAGGAGTTTTTTATTTTTTTTGTGGGATTTTTCCTTTACGAAATTAAAAAAATCTAAAAATTGACATTTTCATTAATAAATATAATACATAAATATCTGGTAGACGACGGGTCCTTTAAAAAAAGAAAATGTCTGCTTTATTTAAACCATACTCTGGTAACACGCGGTTGTTCATTAAAATCGGGAGGCGGGGTTTATGTGCATGTTTTCAGCCGCCGAGTTACTGAACGAATACATGTAGACGTCGTTTTCCTGGTAAATATCCTCCAATTATACTCACCAGGACCCTTCGCAGCAATAACGACCCCACTATTCGAGGCGCGGAGAAGGAAATGTGCTCGTATAATACTAGCCATTGAGTCTTTATGGTTGAGGAAACAAGAGAATGTGAAAATGGCAAAAATGAAAAATAGCTGAGAAAAAAAAAAAAACCCAAACCTATTTGTATTTAATTCTAGTCGATGAGAATTCAAACTGGGCCTGTGAAAGATGTCAGTGGGAGGAAGTCGTGCATTTGGATAACATCAGCACGAAGGCGAAAACTATAGGAGCAAGCACAGCAGATGGTGTTTTATAAAGTCTAACACCATTCATAGGGTTTTAGTTTTGTTAACCTGGCGGCTCCGGGAACTATTGATCCTTCTCATAATTACTTTGTGGGAGTTATTCAAACATAAATGAGTACGTATTTTAGGTTTTGTTTAGTTCTTTTGTATGTTTTTATATTAATATTGGTAATATGCTGCTGTCCTCCGCAGTTGCTACGCTACGTGCTGTAGGCAATTATGTCACTAAATGTAAACAGAAGTCTCTGAAATGACCCAGAAAATGCATCAACTCAAAAAAAGGTATAACAGAAATGCTTCAGGATAGAAGTCTAATTAGAGGACGTCATTAGAGGGGAAAAAAAAAAAAATCTGATTCTTTGTTCCCGTATGATATCACTTTAATAAATAGCTGGTTAACTTGCGAATTAGATTTTTTTTTTTTTTTTTTTTTTTTTTTTACAGTAGTTCTATGCCAAATTATGTTAGCTTTTGTTTTACATTTTATATATATGTGCATATGTGTATATATGTGTATATATATGTATATATATACACATATATTTAATGTTAATATATTCTCTTCTAGTATTAAAAAAATTGTCAAATGTAATTAGAGATAAGAGAGATGCTACTACTAACTACTATTTTACAATTTATTAGGTTGATTTCCCAGTACGGTTTGCACTTTAACAAATCTGACCATTTGGTAGTATTAATGTATGGTACATCTGCTTCTTGTTCTTATTATCTTATGACATATGAACTTGATCCATAAAATTACAGAAAGACTGCAATTTACAATGGCCTTGGATTTTAAGGATGTTCTGAACAGTTATGTTTGTCTCCAAAGCTAAAAAAAAAAAAAAACTACATTATGATCCATTAATTTTCCACCTGCCATTCATCTTAAGGTCTGTGCAGGGGTCTAAGGTCTGTCACCGACCTCAGCAGTCGTTGAGTGAGCGTGGGCAGTTCTTCAGTCCTTTTAAAGTGGACAGTCGACCTCATCTCCACATCTATGGAGCATGGAGTACCTGGGGAAACAAAAACCCCACGCAGACATACAGAGAACACAATCACCGCACTCATAGTCCCTCAGGTTCCTTTTAGCGTTGAACAAACAAAACTTCCCACTGTAAGACAAGGGCATCAATTATTGATGATTATTACAAAAAGAATCTTAGAATCATTATAATAATGGACTGAGGGTTTACAAAGACTAAAACAAGCATACTACATACTACAAATACATTGTAACATGCATGAGAGACAACTATTAAAGCCTAGTACGCATTTCAGGACTGATAAAAACCCCAACTCATATTGTGTACATATATCACGGGGTGTCAAACATATGTCCCATGGTCCATAACTGGCCCGCTATGGGGTTTATTTCAGCCCGCTTGATAGATTTTGAAAGAAAATAAATACATGTTCATGATGTGTTGTATAATTATATTTCATTAAATATGAAGATTTACTAATATACTTTTTGGGATGAAAAAGTTTGGACTTATTAGTTATAGGTAATTATGTGATGATTGTACATATACAATCATGATTATATATATGTATATATATGTATGTGTATATATATATGTATGTGTGTGTATATATATATATATACGTATGTGTGTATATATATGTATGTGTGTATATATATATGTATGTGTATATATATGTATGTGTATATATATATGT